TGTTGCTGCTGTTGCTGCTGCTCCTCATGTTGCTTATGCTGGATTTGCAGCAGTTGCTGCCGCAACTCTTCAAGTTGGTGCTGAACATAAAAACAACAATAGTGATTTTGACATCAAAATGACGCATATAATGCATAGATTAGTTACTTTTAGTGACTTACTTGGTTGAGGTTGGTGGCTAGTTGCTGCACTGGGAACAGATGTTGCGGAGGAGGGTACGGTGGAGTGGCGGGGGGATGAATTGTCGTAACACCTGCAATATATCATTTTTATTTCAATCACAGTTACGAATTAAAAAAAATGCTTTCCTTTGAACAACACACAAAGCGTTTATATACAAATGATGATCGTTTCTGATACAAATGATGTTCAAACACAAGTTGTTCAAATACATGTATTATATGTAGCAAATATTTTCTAACGTTACGATTATGTAAGGGGTACATAATGGCGATATTATAGTTGAAATGATTAATATTAATGAGGCTTATTAAATTAACATTGAAAATAAAAAATATAATATTACTTTCTCCAAATAGAGAAACTAATAACGTTAGTTACGATATAATGAAGTACATAGATTGTATGTATGCTCAAGAACATTGAAACCGGGTCACTTAAAAAAAATCTCGTAAGTATATTGATATAACAGTTAATTTTATGGATTAAAAATTACATAAATAAAAAACTGTTGATCTCACCATAATACAAAAATAAAAAAGATTTTGTACAATATAATTTTCTTGAATTTTAATGTTTGTGTTGCCACCTTGTCATTCAAATACTGCGTTTTCGTGGTTAATATTCTCCCATTCCTCTGTCCGCGAAAAAAACTATGTTTTAATACCTCAATTTAGGGATTTTTAATTGCCTTAAACCACCGTTAATTTAACAAAGCTAGCATTCTTAGTTTAAGAGATTTATTATTGTTTATTTTAAGTGACCCGGTTTTAATGCCGTTGAGTGTATTAGCAAGATGCAGTACAGTTGCAGCGACACTTGCCTTGAGCGCAGAACTGTATGTCCAGTGCGTGGAGCGCTGACGTGGCGAGTGTCGGCGGACCTTTACAATAACCCATTACATTATGTACCATTCAACATGTGTGCATATGTATCAAAGAAAAAAATGAACAATTTTATACATTCGCAAACTCGTGTACCATTAAATAAAAAAAAATTGTATTACACCGTAAAATACTCTGTATGTTCCAAAACAAGTTTAACACTTTAAATGCCACCTTACAGGCTATGCTAGTCAACACAACGAAAGGTGTTACGAGATAATTTCTGAACATACGTTTATTTTGGAGCTATTTTTTTTTATATTTTCATCTATGCTGTTTTTAGTTGTGTATTAACTTACCAGAGGGATCAGCTAACTCCAGCATGTTCCTCTCCGTGTCAGGTAGCGTGGTGTTTCGAGATTGGCCCGTGAGCACTTCGGTTCGCTGCTGAAAACAAACAAAAAAGTACATATTAAATCTAAACTTACTGAGAAAAAAAATTACCTACAACAAACTAAGTTACAATTATCCCTATTAATACATTCAACATACTAAATGCAACATATTTATTTCTAGAATTTAAGATCTAATGTCTACGCTTCTACGGAGTACAACTTACATTTAACTTTCTTTCAATGAAGTTTTTATTTTTAAATTTCTTGTTAATATCGCTCCACGTAAAGCCCGGCGGGGGGGTACAGTTAGCCATACTGTGATGGCACATCTACAGGCGGGAAGCAGGCAAACAAAGTAAATAAAATATAGC